ATTTAGTCAGCTATTGTGTTACACTCCCAGAAAAGCGATTTGATGATTTTCCACTTTCAAAGTAAGGCCTCAAAGAGCCAATAGGCCACCACAGACGGGGTCCTATAGGTCTGATGTTCTGCCGAGGTTGCGGGGCAAGCGCGATAAGGTACCGTGGCCTCAGCCCAGAGCAGGAGAAGGAACGGGGGGGGGGAGAGGTGTCAGTAAAAGTCTGACGCTCTCTCTCGCCTTACCCTGAGCAGGAAAAGACAATTGATGATGAAAAGAGATTGATTTCTCCTGACAAAAAAATCCCTCAATTAAAGGCACCCTTTATCAAACGCATAAATAGACCAAATAATGTAAACCGAAATAATACCTAATACCCTAATTGAGTCAAAACGAATTAGGTAGGTACCAATCTTAATTGCATAAACACTTAAGTACCGTCCAACGATATTGTTAAATGGACCGGGAAACGATACCGAATCGATACGGGGAACTAAATACACCCTTAGGTAATAGAATTATATCGGAATTGGCTTACGTGGAATTTTGTATCGGTCTTTTTCATTTTAAGGATTCTAAAGATTTTTATTGATACCTACGTAGGTATGTAGTTTGGTAACACCGTAGGTTTAGGGTATTGTATGTGAAGTTGTGAACCTCTTTTTTGTTTTCCGCTAGCTATAGTCTCAACTCTTAAAGTTAATTTCCTTGTGCATTCATCGCTAAGTATTTTAAGATTATCATAAGCACCCTACCTGCCTATTCACTACAGGGTCATTGGTAGGTAGCCTAGTTTTCTGACACTTCCTCTCGCCCCACCCTGGGCTAAAGAAGTATTTTTATAATTATTGCCCCCCAAAGAAATACCTAATGCTGCTCTTGAATACGAGCCCTTAACGTGGCATAAAACTGGTCGTCGTAAAAATTTCCCTTATCGAACAGATCAAACAATTACATGAGTAGGTACCTAAGCCGTTAAACACTACATAGTATTAAACAAAGTCGCTTTCTCTTTCCCTAAATCCCTAAGGCACCGTGGCCTCGGCCTAGAGCAGGAGAAGGAACGAGGGGTTTTTAGTCAGTAAGAGTCTGACACTCACTGGGCGGGAGAAATCATTTGATGATGTGTTTTGACGTGACGTACCTGTATACCTAGGTACATTATTATACATAAGTATATTGTTTAGAATTTGCTTTTCAATTTAACTTTGCAAATAAAGAGTTAAGTAATAGGTATTATACCTAATAACATGAAAAAAGGTTATGACGTCGCGACGTAGCGTACAGCTGTCGCTGCCGTTCTTGGGTGCTATCCAAATAGATAAAGTTTTCTCCTTGACACAGACGATTATGACGGTGATAGATGTTATTAGATTTATTTTCCATTTTCGTAAAACATTTGGATTAGAACACTTCTTATACCAGGTCGAGTAAGAAATTAAAACGTAAAAAACAAAACGAAAATAGGTATGTTTTTTTTTATGGTATAAGTCGGCAAACGAGCAGACGGATTACCTGATGGTAAGCAATCGGCGCCGCCCATGGACACCCGCAACACCAAAGGAGTTACGAGTGCGTTGCCGGCCTTTTGGGGATAGGGGTTGGGGATATAAGGATCGGGAAGGGATAGGGGAGTGGGAGGGATTGGGCCTCCGGTAACCTCACTCACACGGCGAAACACAACGCTGTGCGTTGTTTCACGCCGGTATTCTGTGAGGCCGTGGTATCACTCCGGTCGAGCCGACCCATTCGTGCCGAAGCTTAGCTCTCCCACACTTATTAATTACGTTTATTAATATACCTAGACTGCAAATTTAACGCTGTAGCTAGGCTACCGGTTTGATTTCTATCTGGAATAACTCTTTGAGAGATTCAAATACTGTGTGTGAAACGATATGTATAGTTTTTTTTTTTGTGAGGGGAAAATCATCAAATGACTTCTCCCGCCCAGGGCCGGGCAGGAGGGAGTGTCAGACTCTTACTGACTAAAAACCCCCCTGTTCCTTCTCCTGCTCTGTGCCGAGGTCGCGGTGCCTCATTGCGCTTACCCCGCAACCCCGGCTGAACATCAGCCCTTTAGGGCCCCATCTGTGGTGGTCTAATGGCTCTTTGAGGCGCGCGCGGAACGCTACGCGCCGTGCGCTCGGGCCTGGTTCTGGTTGGGCGGCGAGCTGCCCTTACTCGCCGACCGCAGGCCCGTGCTTACGGTGGCCGGAGATCGTCCCTTGATCCCCGACGCCCGTAGTGTCGCCAGTTGCAGCTGCTGGGGCGTGAGGAGGTGGAATGCTCCCTCACGCGGGCCGCCTCTCTCTTTGCGAGCATGACTGCTTCACAAAAGGAGGAGACGGCGTCCCAGTTCCTCCGCACCATGGCCTCGACTAAGGCCGGGCGCGAGAGGTCGCCGCCGCCGATCACTTCCCTGAGGATACGGCGTTGCTCAGCCCAGGCAGGGCATACCGCTACCGTATGCTCCACCGTATCCTCTAGGTGGTCCTCACAATGACGACACTCGGGCGTTTCCTCCCGCTGGATCCGAAACAGGAACCTACCGAAGCTGCCGTGCCAGGTAAGCACCTGCGTCAGACGGAAGGTGAGGACGCCGTGGCGTCTCTCAAGCCACTCCTCAAAGAGGGGTCTTACCGCTGCTATAGTAGCGTGCCCGAACTATATGTATAGTTGAAAACTCATCTACGAGTCAGAAAACTATTAAAGAAAATTAAACTTACTGTGCTTGCTACTCATACAGAATGTAAATGATTAGCTAAATTGTATTGTACGTATAGACTTATTACTTACCGTACGTACCTAATCGAGGTGATAGGTAAGTACGTATAGTTACCGAACGTAATATTTTTCACTTCAGAAAAAAAAATGCTAAGATTAGTCTACTAATGTGCTAAGTCATTTAATTTAATTTCACCACCTTCATTTACAAACTTACCATCTTACCCTTACTTCTATGTGACACGAACCTACATGATACAAATTACGTTCCATATTCAATTTTCGAAAGGCATTCAAATTAAAAAAAAACTGATCTTCTCCTGTATCGTGGGTACGTTTACAAACATACCTACAATTTGACATAAACGTCACGCCCAGCCCCAGAACAACAATTTATGGATCACACAGGGTTGTTCCGTGTTAACACCTTTAAATACTTACAAATTCCCAATCCCGGTGTCCAGGGAACACCCCTACTGCTTACTATCAGGTGATTAGTCACCTCGTTTGCCATCTTATGCCAAACACAAAAAGGCAGCTTTTAATATTTGAAATATAAAATCCAAACTAATATTTAAAAATGCGAAAGTAACTCTGTCTGTCTGTCTTTTCCTCACTCCTAAACTACTGAACCAATTTCTGTGAAATTTGGTACAGACATAGTTTGAAACTCGAGAAGGGACATAGGATAGTTTTTATACCAAAAATCTGCAGGAAGTCCCAATTCCACGTGAACGAAGTCGCGGTCAAAAGCTAGTCCCTAATATTCTCTGAACATATTCAACAAGGGACATAAGTAATTGAATTAGGTTTTGAGCTCCTAAACACATTAATCACTTTTATGATATCATAGTCGGTTCTCTCACTGACCTCTCCCAAAGCTACCTGTTTAATCCTGTAAATGAGTTTCCACAAGGCTAGGTAGGAGAACCAAATAACTTTTAGACTTACCTAATTACACGGGATTATTTAGTTATGAAACCGCAAACCTAAAATATTATTGAACATTTTTAGCGTAGAAAAATATGCCTTATTGCAATCTACTTGGGGTCAAAAGCGTTAAAAAATATATTGTAAATATTTAAATGGATTCATGCACGCATTTTGATCGTTCATCAAAGCGTTTCGGATATCTAGATATAATGCGTATGTAAAATTTTTGTAGAGTTACCCTTACTTATCATTTAATCAAATGAAAAATATAGCCCTTTTGTTATTTAAGATTCCGAGTTTTAAAGGAGTAGTGGTAGCTTGAAATTGGTGTCTACTGAACGCTAAGCTTAACAAACTTATATTATAACGTTATATTCCTAAATTTTAATTATCTATATATACATACATAGCCTACCTAGGAATATACATAACCAAACCTTTAATAGATAAATAGAGAGCACTTTAGGGTAATTTCCTTTTTGGTTTTAAGTGGAAATAATAATCAGCTCGTGTTCCACGCTTTGGGCAGGGTGTGATATTACACAAATCCAGCTGGACATCGATCGTAGTCACGGGGCTCACTGTGGGCCCCATTAGTGGGGGTTTGATGGCTCTATGAGGTGCATGCGGAACGTGACGCGCCGTGTCTTGTTTTAATGGGCAGTGAGCTGGCGGCAAGCTTCCTTTGCTCGCCGCTAGCCGTCCCGTGACGCTTGCTAGACTAGAAATCCTAGCACGATATCTGACGCCCGGAATGTCTCCAGCGCTGGCTGGGGAGTGAGAAGAATATTTATCTCACAAACTCCGCAACAACTCTCCCCAATTTCTCTCCACAACCGATACAACCTTCAAGAAACGAGTGTACTCCTTCTTAAAAGGCCGGCAACGCACCTGTGACTCCTCTGGTGCCGCAGCTGTCCATGAGCGGCGCCGATCGCTTACCATCAGATGATCCGTCTGCTCGTTTGCCTCCTATTCTATAAAAAAAACACTCCACCTCCGTTTTTGTAAGACTGACTGCCGCGCAGAAAGAGGAGATGGCTTCCTATCTCCTTGGGTTTCGAAGCAGGGTCTGGACTAAGGTCGGGCGCGAACATTCGCTGCTGCCGATCGCTTTCCTGAGACACGACGGTAGTACTGCTACCGTTGGCTCCACCATGTCCTCGAAGTAGAGAAGCTTTTTACGATGGAGTATGACGATCATGACAGAAAATAAAATAATATAAATAACTATTCTATCTCCAAAATAAGACATAGCATAGGTAGGCTAAATCTACTTAAATCATTACAAACAAAATTAAACACCAAAATAAAACAATCAGTGACACACTTTTAATAATATAACAATACAAAAGCGTCACATAAACTGAGGATTTTATCTCCATAACAAGATTCTTTACACAACCAACGGTAACCGAATCACGTTGCTACTTAACAATGAAAACTGGATAATCTTTCGTATCACACAACTTTACTTCACTGATGCACCTAACTAACCAATCTTTATACACGTGTCTTGCATCTGAAGGGACTTTTTTGGATAATTTCCTCATTTTAGAAAATTCTATACTTTTATTATTGTGTAGGACATAATGTACGTCCATTACTTTGATGGCTTTAACAACTGTGCCTCCGTAAGCAATCCAGTGTCTTTCAAAATGTCTTCTTTCTTCTTCTGGGAAGCTGATGAAATCTGGGTAGAAACCAAGCCGTTTGCCAACGAAAACGTCTAGCAAAGGATTTTCTGGTGCAAAAACGAAATCTGCATCATCCCCATCTATCTCATCTACGTCCATTTTTTCTTTTTTAATTTCTATATCCGTTGATATAGACTGTTTTGTGTCTGGAGATTTAGAAGTTTTGAAAGTAGAGTTTGGTTTCTCTTCTTTTTTTATAAAATAACTGGCTATATTATTTTTTGGACTAACTTTGTCCGGTTTTGTAGGACTTGTTTTGGTCTTTACGGGACTAGGTTTTATTTTCTTTGCTGGTGGTTCGTCTGAGGCCGTTGCCATTTTGTTTAGAAGCGATACATCCGTTTTTTCTTTCGAAGACTTGTATAGATTCTTTAATTCTTCCAAATTAATTGCTGTTTTCCAATCTTTGTCATCTCTTATCCTAGTTACTCTTGGGAATCGCACTGATATGCCATCTGCTGTGTGTAGTTTCGCTTTCGTTAATTCTGTGCCTGGAATAAGATAATGTACAATTAGTATAGTTTATTCTTATCACGACTAATATCCGAGAAAAACAAAGTTGCCAATCCAACTCTTTATCAAGATGCCAAATCAAACTCGAACCACGTAAACAACAATCCTGTAAACTAATTTTGATTCTGTAGTTATTGTAACGATTTAACAGATCCTCACCTTACCTCACATTGTCACGCTTACCAACGAAACAGTCAAATTAAATAATAATCTATACTTACTATAATAATATAAAGCTGAAGGATTTGTTAATTTGAACGTTTCTGGAACTACTGGTTTGATTTGACCAATTCTTTTTGTGTTTGTTAGTCCATTTATTGAGGAAGGCTATAAAACATCACGCTATGATTTGTAGGAGCTGAGCAGCGGGTGAAACCGCGTGAGAGTAGCTAGTTATTTATAATCTGAGAAATACTTACCAGTAATTTCCCAAACGGGTTGTTTCTTAGGATCCGCAGCAACGAAATCGGGTACCATGCCATTGTTACAGTCTAACCAAGAAGGTACTTTATTGGTGTCCTGTGATATCTTCACCATAAGAGGTTCTAGCTCTTTCTGTAGCCTCTCCAGTGTTTTGTCATCATGGCCTGTATGAACCTTCGTGACAGTCACCCATTTATTTCGACGTGTATCATGACAACCCATTAGGAAGACTGACATCATCCCGCCTTTTTTGCCCGTTCCTGTAATTTGAAAATATAGGTTTTGTTTATTTTGTCAAAAAGGAGGTTAGCAGACGATGTAGGGATAACCAATGATGTATAAAACTATAGATACGTTGTCCGCGCTCTAAAATGACAACATGAAATGAAGGCAATTGACAACATCGCGCTTAGTTACGCACCAACCTGCCGCGCGACGCGACGTTTGTTTTTAATTTATATCGTGTGTGTAAACCTGTGCGAAACATAAAGAAAGCATGCCGTCGTGTGTGTTCAGACGATGTACAAATTATACTCCAAAAGTTAAAGACAAAAATGTGTCATTTCATGCGTAAGTTCACCAAACAACCTATTTTTATTTAATTTTTTCGACGCCGGCGCCCGCCATCTTATGGCGGCCGGCGCATGAAGGTATAGTCACGTGCCGATGTAACTGAAGATGTATATTTATCTCTCTCTAGCAAAGGCAGTCATATTTTCTTTCCCTTTCTTTACTCTTAGAAGTAGTTATCTAGTATTTTCGCCGTTTTTAAGCGCCGCGATGTTGGTTCATGACGTGTCTATATATAATACGTCATTGGGGATAACCTATTTACTGGTAGTTTTCACTGATGATTATGATGATGATAAATGGATTGTAACAAGTATTATATTATGAGGAATGTATTTCATACTTTATATTAAATTGTGTAAACAATTTCTGGGTGAGCCAAATAAGTAAAATTAAAACTAATATAAAATACAATAACTTCTTTTTTATATTATTACACTTAATGATTCTTATCAGATCACAAAATATATTAGTACCTAACATGCATGAGAAAACATGTTCATCCTAGGGAATTTATATGACGTCATGTCTTAACAAATAGCAATGTCGTTATTATAAACAAGTTTATTCCCGTTCGTTTAGTAAAACACGCACAAAATCTTATCAATGCAAAACAAATCATTTTTATCAATTCCACGCTCAAATACAACTATCAGTATCGAGTATATAAATATCGAGTATCGACTGTATCGAGTAGTGTACCTACTTTTTTTATATCGTTACCTATCTATTTAAGATTTAGGTTGTACCAAGTGAAACATGATAAGTGCCTGTTCTTTCTGTTATTATTACGTAAAAAACAAAGTTAATACCTGTTATTAAAATAACAGGAGTTAAAATCAGAGCAAATTCTACCCCTTGGTATATCCGTTAATTTCGATGACAGTTATGACAGAACAGACGTTTTTTTCGAGTAAATAAAATCATCAATTGAGGACTTTCGTTGGTAGTGGTGAAGGATACGCACGTGTTTTTTATCGGTACTACGATTGTTGTCAATTTTAGTGATCTTTTTCATAGTGATCTAAATTGAAGCATTTTGTGTTGTTTTTATTGTGTTTGTGTGTGTTTTTTAACGTAGTAAGTAGTAGTTTTAACCTTTAATTATAACTTTTTCTTCCCTTTACTTCCCTCTTCTCTCCATTGTCCAAAATGGACGAGGAGAAACCTCCGGACCCTCCTGATAAAACGTTGGACTACCAACCAATTTTAACGATTACCCTACCCCACGATAACCCCGATCCCGAACTAATGGACTCTGAGTCATCAGCCAACAGAAAAAGATCAGCAGGCTCCCCACCTATCTCTCGTAACAACCCTCCAAAAGTACCTAAAAGCATAAATGGTAGGCAATGTTACACAGCTAAGGACAACCCCCCATACATCGTATATGTCTCCCTCAAGGACTCCCAGACTTCTGGTACCACACTGCACCCAGTAAAGTTCGGGATGTTCTTGATGCGGAACAATATAAATAATGTTAAAATTGGCGGTGTTAAACGATTAGGAAGGAACAGGGTTTCAGTGGAGTTTGTGTCACACCAGGATGCCAACAGTTTTTTAGTAAATTGTGTGGTGGCACAAAACTATACAACATCAATCCCACAATTCAATATCACGAGAATGGGTATAGTGAGGGATGTTCCCATTGAGTGGTCGGAGGAGGAGGTTATCAGCAACATTAAGGTTCCTGCGGGATGTGGTGTTGTGATAAAAGCAAGACGGATGAACAGGAAAGTTTCCTCACCAAGCGGAATGGAATGGAAGCCCACCCAAACCGTAGTCCTGACATTTGATGGCCAAATCTTACCCAAGAAAGTGTTTTGCTTCTATTCAGCGCTCCCAGTTGAACTTTATTCATACCCGACAATCCAATGTTATAACTGTTGTCGATTTGGGCACACCCGCACTTTATGCCGTTCAAAACCACGCTGCTTCAAGTGTGGCCAGGATCATCCTGGTGATGGATGCCAATTAGCTAGTGAGGTTGCACATTGTATAAACTGCAATGGCAATCATTTTGCAAATGACAGTGCTTGTCCTGAGCTGGGCCGCCAAAAGAGCATTAAAGCTTTAATGGCGGAAAAATCTATTTCATATGCTGAAGCTAGCCAAGTTTTCCCACCTGTCAAAAGGTCATATGCCGAGGTGTCTAAATCAACAAACTATATTGACTCAACACCAACCAAAAAACCATCCCAACAAAGAACCTCATATAAAAAAACAGTACTCCTTAAACCCAAATCCCATGCTCCCCTTTCTCCTAGTTATGACAAGAAGGCCCATCAGGCCCTTATCCAAGATTATTCTTTTTCCCCATCCCAAAATGGTTGCGCTTTCCCAATGGAATTTGGAACCAACAAACATAGCTCCAAAGACATTTTAAATATTATTTCCAATATGTTGATAGCAGTGTTATCTAACCCTGCTCAAGCCGTACCTGACCACGTTGCACAAAGACTAGCTACCATCCTAGAGTATATTTATAAAATTCCACCCACTAACTCTCCTTCAGTGGAACGTGAGGAGTACTCTTCCCAGGAAGAGTGACTTACTCCATTTAATTAATAAATTTCAACCTTCAATTTGTGGCATTGCTGAGACATGGCTCCTACCGAATATTAATTTCAGGATCCCATGTTTCAGTGTTGTCAGACAGGACAGATCTGATGGTTATGGAGGTTGTGCTTTGTTAGTAAATAACAAAGTACCCTTCTCCCAGATCCCTCTACCCTTCGTTGGCGATGACATAAATGTTGTCGCTGTTAAGGCTGAGGACATAAACATTTTTGTGTTTTATATTGCCCACCCCCAGAGTAGTCATATCATTTTAATTAAAAATCTATTAAGTTCAGTAAATGGTCCTTTACTTGTAATGGGCGACTTTAACTGCCATCACTTTCGATGGGGGTCTGAAATATGCGATAGCATAGGTCATGACCTAGTAGACATGCTGGATGACCTCGACTTATGCGTCATCAATGATGGCAGCCCCACTCGTAGGTCTGCACTTGGTCAAAGAAACAGCTGTGTGGACTTGACTTTCTGCTCATCTAGTGTGGCTAGTTTGCTTAATTGGAGTTGTTTGGATATGACCTATGGTAGTGATCACTATCCCATTATCATTAAGAGCCCATCTAAATCCATTCCAGATAAATCCCTTCCTCCCTTATTAAAATACCGGCTAAACTCAGCGGATTGGGACCTTTATTCCAAACTGCTGGATCTTCGCATTTCCGCATTACCAATTGTTAACTCTGAAAACGCTTTGGAGTGCTTTTCCCAATTTTCCGACGTAGTAGCTGCTACAGCTAAAGACTGCTTTCCGGAGAAAAGCATCCCAAAAGGAAAAATCCCCTCCCCCCCTTGGTGGGATAGTGAATGCACTGCCATGATACGAGCTAGGAATGAGGCTGAAAAGACATATAACCACGATATGAACCTGGAAAATCTCATAAACTTCAAGCGAATATTGGCTAAGTCAAGGAAGTTGTTTAAAAAGAAGAAGAAACAGGGCTGGCGGAGTTTCTGTTGTTCTTTGAACCCATCCACACCGGTGGCAACGGTTTGGCAGAGGGTGAAGAGCTTTAGGAACTCCTCTAAACCTCCTTCAATTTCCATCTTACCTGATAGTCTAAGCCATATGTTCTTTGCCAACATTGCTCCTACTTATGTTCCCAGTGAAGATGAATGTTGTTGGGGATTGTGTGAAGACTCACATGACCCCCTTGACAAAAAGTTCACAATGGAAGAGCTCCAAACGGTGCTGAACCATGTGAAAGACTCTGCACCAGGTAATGATGGATTCCCTTACTCCTTCCTCTCAAAATCAGGAATCAAAACTAAACAGTACTACCTTGACTTGGTCAATTTTTGTTTTATTTTTGGCTATATTCCCCCTTCCTGGAAGGTTCAGGTTGTTATACCGCTGTTAAAAGCTGGTAAAGATTCTGGTGATCATTCGTCTTACCGGCCTATTGCGCTATCGTCCATCCTTATTAAAATCCTAGAACACCTGATAAAAAACCGATTAGAATGGTTGGTGGAGGGCCAGAGACTGCTGCCGGTGACTCAATTTGGCTTTAGAAAGGGCTTGGGAACGGCCGATAGTGTGGGCACCCTCACATCGGCCATCCGACTGGCCCTTAGCAGGAGTGAGTCATTGGTTGCGGCCTTCTTGGATATTTCAGCGGCTTATGACTCGGTTCTCCTACCCCTTCTCAGGCAAAAATTGCAAAAGCTGAGAATCCCGAGTAGGATTTGCCAGATTATAGGCCATATCCTCTCCAATCGTACCCTCCAATTAAGAACTCCTGAAGATAGCCCTCTACAGAGAACTGCCTGGAGAGGGTTACCCCAGGGGTCAGTCCTTAGTCCCATCCTCTTCAATATTTATACCCATGACCTTCCCTCCTGTTTAAACTATGACTGCAATATCCTACAATACGCTGACGATATCGCGTTAATGGTCACCAATACCTCTATAACAGACGCCGCTCGCTCCATGAATGTCTCTTTATCCTCATTAAACCAATGGCTGGTTAATCATGGGTTATGTTTAAGTGCCCCAAAAAGCTCGGCTGTAATTTTTACGCGTAGCCGTCGCATTCCAGATGTCCGTATAGAAATAGACGGTCAGGTAATCCCGATAAGCAACAAGGCTAGATTCCTAGGCGTGATTCTAGACTCTAGGATGTCGGGGTTGGATCACGTAGACGCCGTCGTCACAAGGTGTGAACGGTCAGTAGCTGTACTCAGAGCACTGGCTGGAGTATGGTGGGGTGCCAACCCCTTTACATTGAAGCTCATCTATAATGCATTGGTCAGAAGCGTAATGGATTATTGCTGCTTCCTTATGGCACCTTGCAAGAAGGAAGCTTTTAAAAAACTTGATTCCATTCAGGCCAAATGCCTTAGAATAATTATTGGAGCTATGAAGTCATCCCCTATAAATGCCCTACAGGTCGAATGTGCAGAGCCCCCCCTCGACCTTCGGAGACAATACCTAGCAGACCGTTTCGTTTCGAAAGCCCTTTCCCTTTCATCGCATCCCCTACTTCCGATCTTGGACCAGATCCACTGCTCCTATAATTCCTCCCCTTACTGGAACAATAAGTCTGTCCCTCCTGTGATTGTTAGGTACAGAGAACTTAAAAACCTCTCTGCACCCATCAGCCAATATCCTGTACTCCCGGTCTTTTCTTCTGCATATGAGATTATCCACTTCAGGCCAAGCATTGTCTTGGAACTAGGCATTGCAAAATCATCAGCGAACGCCAACAAGAAATTCAAACGCGCGTTGAGCAATTTCTGGAGTGACTGGAATTTGTTCTACACAGATGCTTCTAAACTGACTCCTGAGGGATGCACAGGAGTAGCAGCATATTATCAGAACTCAAGGATTGCTTTGTTAGCCAAATATCCCTCTGAGGCTTCTGTATTTACTGGGGAATGTGCTGCTATTCTGGAGTCCATAAAGTTTATCAGAGCTCACAACTTGAAAAATTCAGTCATCTTCTCAGATTCTAGAAGCAGTCTTCAAGCTCTTGGCCAAGACCAGCTTCACTCCAGAACCTATAGTAGTTTAATCATAGAAATTAAAGCTCTACTTCTTGCGTGTCACGAGGATGGCTTAAAAATAGAAATCGCTTGGATTCCTGGGCACTCTGGCATAAGTGGTAATGAATGTGCGGATACGTTGGCAAAGTTTGCGGCCTCGAATAATGTGGAACACCAACATAACGTTGTGTACGGGTATGATATACGAGCGGACACAAAACACAAGCTTTTTAAATCTTGGGCTGCTGTGTGGGTGGACTCTTCCAAACGGAAAGGTGTCCATTACGCTAATATCCAGCCCGACGTCCAGCGGAAGCCTTGGTTTTGCAAATATACCAAACTCCCCCGACACACTATTACGACCTTGTGCAGGCTCAGACTTGGCCATTGTAGCAGTCCAGTATTCCTCAAAAAGATCCATGTTCGTGACAGTTCGCTGTGCGAATGTGGTCTTGATGAGGGTACCTTGGACCATATATTCTTTTCTTGCCCCTTAAACTCCCAATCCTTTGACCTCTACAAAAAACTCCCAAATTTAGAAATCCCCCTTCCAATCAATTTCCACTCCCTCTTAACTCACTTTTCTTATAAATTAATTAAATGTCTATCAAAATTTATTAATGATAATGATATTAAACTGTGATGGTGTGTAATATTATAATTATGGTATATACGTATATGTCAGTTGTGTATGTCCTCTTATTTATCTTTATTATATAATGTAAAGTAGAAAAGTATAAAATAAGTAGATATAGTTTTACTAACCCATGTGTTGTCCTTTCAGCTACTAACAACAGACTACCACAAAGTTAAAGTTCGACGGGCCCATAAATCTGCCGTCACTACTTGACACTGGCAGTATAGTCGACAACATTAAATTGGAGACTCGGTTGCCATTCAAGAAAGAAAAAAAAAAAAAAAAAATCATCAATTAATGTCTTCTTCTAGCCTGGGTTGGATGAAAGGGAGTGTCACTCATACTAACAAAAAACCACCCTTTTCTTTCTTCTGCTCCGGGCCGGAGACGCAGGGCTAACTGTGGTTGTCACTTGAACTGTTATTTTTGTCCGAGAACGTTAATAGCTGATAGCATAACAGGCTGTTATTTGAACTGCAACTTTGATTGTGATGTCGGTATCTAGTAACGGTTATCTAATATTTGTGAGATACCTGTTACTTATACCTGTAACGATATACACGTCCCTCGCCTAAACTATACATTTTAATCATTGATTATTTCAATCCAAATAATCTTTTTATCAATTTAAACATTTAAAAAATATTGTTCAATCTGTTAGCATTTGTTAGCAAAAGTTTTTATCATTCAATGCATGAAATCCTAAAACCAGTACCTACTTAAAAATCTAACAACAAAACATAGAACTTTAAAAATTAAACTTTATAAATGAAACAGAATTTTATATCATAGCTAATAGGGTACATTAGGTTAAGTTACCTGTAATGGCAAAGTAATATGTAGAAATAAATAAATAAATAACAATTTTGCTTACCAAACCATGCTCCTAGTACAACCAGATCTGCTGTGTCAGCCATGGCTCCATCAAATAGGTAGTCTTTCTTCACTTTCAACCAATGTCGCTTGCCAGGCACATATTTGGATTCCAAATCCTTTAGTACTAAACCTTCTAAGCCTTGTTCTAATACCTGAAATTTTATAGTAAGAATGTTTGAGATATGTTTATTAAAATATTCTATGCATTAAGGAAAGGATTAGGTTACATTATTTGAGAAGGTATAATATATTAATAAATTATTGCAGGAGGAGAATAAAACTGTGAGATCAGGTGTGAAGAACTCTTAGCCAGATTACTTATACTCAGAATATAAAGGAAGCTTAAATAGTACCTTATAAGAATAGGAATATGTTAAACTCATGTAAATTACAAACATAATGTTTCTACAGACTGCTAAAGCTTTATAACAATGAACAATTCAACAAACGTTCATATTGAACATAAATTTAAAATAATAATTTCATAGAAATTATTTTTATGAAAAAATAGTCATTGGACAATCTTACCTCAGCAATCATTTTAGCTAAATCCGATGGCTTCTCAATCAACTTCTGTTCAGAAAACATGACATGGTTCGTTACTTCCACCATATTCTCATGCAATATCTGTCTTCGTTTCCTGATAGGCATATCAATTAAAACTTGACCGTTGTAGTACAAACAGTCAAACACGTACAGACACACTTGTGCATCTTTGAACTCAGACTGCTTATGTATACCCAAAGTACCAAAGGGTAAAGGTTTTCCCGTAGTGACATCAACCATTAGAACTTCAGCATCCAAAATTAAATCTGTACCTTTAGGGAAAGCTTGTGGTATATAGTCTTTAAAATGACTGACTTTATGTGCCATAACAGGTTTTAAAGCTCTAGAGAAATATTTGAACTCATTCCCTTTTTTATGCACTTGTACCCTTTCTCCGTCATATTTGATCTCTGAGAACATACCATTTCGACATTTTTTCATTGCTATTTCCACTGATTTGCATGCTTCAGCCAACATTGGCAGTACGGGAGTCATTAGAGAAAGTTTTGCCTGAATACTTGTTTGGATTGCATTTTTATGTTTTACAACAGAACCTTCAGATATGATTCTGTCTAACACCATGTTCAGATCTCTTGATGTTTGGAAAGCACTGTAAGCATCAGGATGTACTCCTTCCAATATATGTTTTGGCCCAGCGTTTATTCGTAAATCACCATTTATCAACCTAATTAGCATTTTCATATCATCTGAAGTACATTTCTTTACAATCTTCTTGAAGTGGTATATTTGTTCTTCCTCTTTGGTTAGTTTCGAAAGGTCCTCTAAGAAGTCTTCTACTTTTTGTATTGTCAGTGTACTATCTGAAGCTGGTTGGACTGTTTTTGATTTATTGAAGAAATGTTGAATAGTGTTAGCCACATCACCTTGTTCAAGATGTGTCAACATATCATCATGATCTGTGTTGAATATTTTTGAAAATAGTTTAACTAATTGCTTGCTTTTTAAATTGTAAACTCTTTTTGTCACTTGGGGTAGCAGGAGCTTACACCACAATGACAGGGTTCCTTTAAACAATGTACCATCTGTGCCTTTTTGAAGAAAATCATTGACTACTGCAGTTTTGTCAGTGTATGCATCAACCCTAGCAATTCTTTTACATAATTTGAAGAATGTGTGGAACTTGTCATCTTCTGTGGTCACTTCCTGCTTCTGCGGACTCACTGTGGTGCCATTACTTGTAGATGCTACAGGACTCGGTTTCACAGAGGGTATCGAAACGTTTTTAATAACCTTAGCTGTATATTTACCACTATTTTTGTCAGCATACAATTTTTCCATGTCATTTAGCTTTTTTAAAATAAATTCTTGGTCTTCCTTGCTGATGTTGTCCCAGTTACCAATGTCATCTATTGAATCTACTCGTTTGGTTGCTGGTCGTTGCTTTAAAAGCACATTCATGAAGCAGTCCACATGGTGCCATGATTTCATTTGCTGACCATCTCCATATGGACTAGCCACTAGTTTTGCAATTCGTAATTCACCACTAGGACAGTTTGTCTTACACCCCTTACAGGAAGCTCGTCCTCCTTTCGCTCGATCAACGAAAAACGGCGTAGATTCTGCCATGGTTCAAGTTACACTTGATTTTTAAACATTTAAATAAAAAAGTAACTAAATAGTTATATGTAAGCACGTTGTATGGCTGTTACGAAACCATATGTGTGACTTATTCACCGAACGCGGTCTGTATCATTCAAATCTAAATAAATATCGGCTTATAAACCAAAACAATAGGTACGTGAAACTTAAAGTGTCATAATCGAAATTTTTTGACAGTTTGACAGTTGTAGAGTAGTGTAAGAGTACCGAAACAAGTAATAATCGAGTTTTTCGTAAAACGAATAATCGTACTATCAACTTGATGTTTTTTTACATTTTACACTTAATTTCACAAATTTAAGAATTAAATCGTTTTCCTAAAAAATGATCGCGTATTATTTACTAAATATTTCCGTTCACATGTGTTAAAATCTGACTGTGACTTGATCACGGTTACGCAGTACAATAATCGTCTGTAGTCGGGTTGCCTCTATTGACGTTTCGTTCTACGCATGCGTCGATTTTCCAGCCTCGACTAAATTATATCGTGCGCCGTGCGCTTCAACGCAATAATTATTAATACTAAACCTTATACCTGTTCAAAATTAAGTAACTTAATACGCTCTAATCTTAAGTACTACATTGAATAGTATTATAGTTTCAATAAGTAAATTGATTTCGTAATTACTTTAAGTACAGACGGGCTGAAAAGAAAAAGTAATATAGTTTAAGTTTAATAATATGAGTGTTTTACATTTAATTTTAGTTCTTTTTTCTTTTCGAAACGCATCTATTAATTTTATCTTTTCCTTTTTACAGCCTCATCATGTCATCAAGAATTCAGCAGCGATGGCACAAAACACGGCACTTTGACTTCACCGCATTACCCGTCACCCTACCCTCCGAACACTCATTGCCACTACGAATTTTTCGGAAGGGGCAAGGAGCGGGTTAGATTAATATTTCAAGACTTCTACTTATACAAATCTGCTGATGGATCTATTGAGTAAGTATATTTTTAACAGATCTCTCTAATACATTTAATAATATACAATTAACATTAAATAAATAATACTGTTAACCCGATGTTTTATTCATGTTTGTTACACTGATGGTTAATCAATCTTGGCTTAGTATTTGATTGAAAAGCCGATGCAATTTTGATATCGCCTCCACTTTTCTAATATCTTCTTTCATAAGAACATCTTCCTGATACCAATAAACACATTAAGAAAAGAATTATCGGAGTTGGTCTAGCTATTCAAGCAGGATGTGATGACCAAGGGAAATCGGCATTAATGTTTGTATATTTTACTACCTACTCTCGTGCGGTTTCACCCGCTGTCGAGCCCTATTTGATCGTAGCAAGATGTTTTATAGCCTATAGCTTTCAGGAACAATGTAGCTATCTATCTACCAGTGAAAGAATTTTGGCAGCGGTTTCAAAGATTACCCCCTACATAAAAAGTTACGAACTTACAAATTTTACCTCTTTATAGTATTAGTATAGATAAACACATATTTTAAATACACAAATTAATTATTATTTGTATGCGATTTCAGTTGTACAAGTGTGGATTCGTTGCAAGCATTCGTCAATGTAGACGGGCGGCTAGAAAAAGTGGAGACGTTCTGTGGAATTGACCTCCCGAAGCCTATTATGTCGAATGGACCGAAACTAATGCTGGAATTCCGTGGAACGCAGTCATCACGATACTCAAGAGGATTCAAAATATCATATTCATTTGTAGAAAGTAAGTATGCTTTGGCATTTAATTGCTGAATTGATTTCCTAGTTATAATGTTACTAGTGCCTATTAAGATTTATTAAGCGTAGTACAAAATTAAACATGTAATATTATTAAACAGCTAAAAACTATCCCCATAAACAATTCTACGAAGAAGCTACCCCTCTTCAAACCGCATCGTAGGTAGACCTTCATAAATATGTAATTAATATTTATTTATATTTTTTCAGATTTCGGAATAAACACAGGGAGGCAGTTGAAGGAGTTTCCATGTGCGTTCGTATATAATAGTAGCGAGGCGCACAATGGTACATTTGCGTCCCCAAACTCGCCGGGACCATATCCAAGGGATACCGAATGTACATACTTCTTTCACGGCGGCGAGACTGAGAAAGTGCATCTGCATTTCACGAATTTTGACGTTGAAGGAGTTTTACCGTAAGTGTCCTTAAAAATATACGAATAAACCTCCAATATCTAATTTAATCAGAGTCTCTTATAGTTTAACCTATTTATAAACGATATAGAAGAAGCTGTATTTCACTGTGCGGTCCCTCATACAAAAATGGTGACTACGGTGGTACTGCAAACAAAGATTTAACAAAAAGAAAAATTCACAGTGGCATCCAAAGAGTTTTGACGAATATGTTATAGGAAATGCTACTACTAAATGCTACGCGATTATTAAAAATATTATTCGATCAGGCTTTCTAGGATAGGCACATATTTTTCTTTGCATACACTTCAAGGCACTTCAAGGCACAAATTAAAAGTCTTAATAAGCTATCATCTTTCATTAATATTTATTTGACAAATAGGCATACAGACTTTTATCCAGCCCTGTGTAATTACGTTAACGGAGTAATTAATTCCATTTATTTTGTTTCAGATGCCAAGCAGTATCGGCGAGTGATTATGTCGAATTTTCAAACTATATGACTGAAGACAATAGATTCGGTAGATATTGTGGACAAATGAAAGAGTTCCACGTAGAGTCTGAGAGGAATTTCTTCAAAGTAACTTTTAGGTCGAACGACCGATTAGATGGTACAGGTTTTAAGGCAATCTATCAGTTTTTAGAAGCTACTGATGAATACCGAGCTCCACCTGTACAGGATAAGGCTTCACATTCTTTATGTAAGTACTATCATTCGGCGTGTAAATACAGATAACCGTTTTATTGAAAATAATTACTTCTTACGTAAATTAACTCATAAAAGCTCTACTAATTTCAATTGAAAAAAAATCCAGCCGAAATATAAAATAAAGCTCATCTGAGAATTAAATAAATTGCGATTTTTTCAGTTTATCAAACTGACCGAAAAGTTCTTTTGTAAGGATTTTGTTTCTAAAATGCAATATTTTGCTGTTTCAGGTATATTTGACCATTTTCTAATGCTGATCATCCTCGCGATACCACAGCTGCATCATCAACTATATCATTAAATAAAGTGATATTAGATTAAATATTATTAAATAAAAATTAGTCTATAATCCTGTATATTTTGTATAATAGTATGTGCCATACACCTGTAATTACGTAGATATGCAATATTTTCTATAAAATCGCGTTTTATGTTTTCTTCTATTGTCTACCAACTTAAAGCAATACCATATGAAACACAATAAAGATTTATTCATAATGGCACGTCGTAAAACGAAATAAACGATTTGAATTAAATGTTTTTTTATTGATTTGCCTTAATTTTATTCCCCCTGATCTATGCAATTTAAAGAGAAAGCTCTGTAATTAGACACCTAATTAGGTAACCAACGGAGAACTAATCATGCAAATATTAATAAATCTACACTGTATGGTATCGTAAGTTACTAACTAAAGAACAGACAAGCTGTTGGTGCAAATAGCCAAAATACGACTACAGAGTAAGATTCTCAGGTTGGACACCCGGATTCGTACGGTAAACAAACCTTATGTTAGTAATGTATCCAATTCAGGCAGATATGTGAATGGTTTTCAGAACAGTACGCTTATAAAAACAATCACTCAAAGTAAAACTTACTTTTTGCTGATATGCTGTCAAATCAATGTTATGAAAATAGTTTTAAATTATCAGTGATCTAAGATCACTAATGAATAATAGTTATTCGAGTACATAAATCAATGTCAATATTAAGTAAGACGGCTTAATAAATATGTTAAATTACAAATTTGAATTAACTGCGTCAAGATCTCACTAACATCATAAATTGCTGACCGTAGTAGGCGGTTTTAGTTACTTGACAGCTTTTGAAATATGCGATTGAACTAGCAATTCCGTGTTTAAGAGTTGATTTGAGGATTTCTTGGTTAATCACCACGAATGATCGTGTCTATTGCTCAGTCTCAAACTAGTTATATACCTACCTAATAATATTTTATTATATGTTGTAGACATCAATAGTTCAGTATTCAACATATAGAACAACTAGGTGATCAAAACAAAAGTGCACAGGAACAAATGTGTCTAGAAACACAATAAAAAGAACAAAATAAGCTCGATAACATTTCTGCGTAAGACGAATTAACAGTATATAGCTACAAACATCTAGTTGTATTTAAGTGAACACTGCAACAATAACAAATTGGCTGCACAGAGTTTATGGTATTCACAATAGTATTCATTACACGGATTGTCAAACAGACATTAGTGAATGTTGCGCTAACCAGTCTTCGTTGGAACGAAGAATTTCAATTAACTAGGTATTGTGGTGCATAATTTCTCGAAGACAGTTTCTTCCTGCCTACACCCGACCTACCGCTAGTTATGTAATAAGGAAAATGAATCTGCGTAAGGATCATAATGAATTATATTTTTCTTTTCTCTAATACAATCATTTGTGGACTGCGCTAAGAATGGTTCCGTGCAGGTTCCTGTACCCAACCGCTGCAGCATCCTTGCAGTCGTTAAAAATAAAGGAGGAGTCCAAAAGTATATTAAAGTAGCATACTTTGGTAGCGACGACATTTTAATTTATATGAAGTACTTGAACTTGAATGTGGGTATACATTGACGTAAGTTTAATAAACTTATAGATTCAAATATATAAGATGACAGATACCCATACCATATGAAATAAAAATAAATTTTATTATAAAACTAGTGGCCTGCCCCTGCTTTGCACGGGTCTCCGACTATCTCGCTAACGACGAAAGGGTCCCTAATACCCGCTGTCTTCCCTACTTTTCTAAAAAATATTTTTAAACAAACACAACAAAAAAAGAAATTGTAAAATTGGTCCAGGCGTTGTTGAGTTATGCGCACACATTTTGGGATTCATTTTTATATATTACATAATTTAATTTATTTTAATATTTTCTTTACAGAAAGTTATTCTCATTGTTTGACTACAATTATTGTAATTTGTTATTGATTAAGGAACTTAGATAAACTCGATTTAAGCACAGTCGTGTAATGTTGCACCTCTACTTTCGCCTCGGTTCATTGCTTGTCGCAGAGCTGCGTACCGCGTTGACAGGTGTGGCGGCGCCACCGTCGCGTCGTTTGTTGGCTGTTCACGCGCGATCCCCACTCCGTTTTACGTCAATTCGAGTTCGTTCGCCGCTCTCTTTGGTGCCGGTCGGTAGGCTATACGTGGTTGTTGCCCAATTCCGCGAAAATTTTTACCGAAGTTAGGGGATGTGACAGGAAATAACGTTATTTGAATATTTTTGTGTGGTATACTGTGTGAAAACGTTGTTTTTCATTTGTGACTAATAAAAGTGTTAGGTCGGAGTGGTACTGTGAGTGTGATTGTGGTCACAGGTGTCGCATTCCAGGGGGGACGCCGACGCAGCCTCTGTACCCGATACAGTAGGAAGGTGGACCGCTAGACAACCCTATTTTAATTGTAAGTAATCTAATGTGGTTACTTTACCCTTTATGTAACTAATGAAAGCCTTTGAAGTGCGCCATGTGTTACCTGCCACAAAATATTTCTTGTTCTTGTACATACAGAGTTTATTAAAAGTATTTAAATGAAAAACACGACACATTTAAATTTACATAATATCGATGTCGTTTAATTGCCGAGGTAATTCTTGAGTACCTCCCTATTATGCTAAACAAAAAACTTACAAGAATACAGTTAGACAACTATGTAGGTAAGGTAAATATGTAGGTAAATGTAAATAAAGAATATTGGAATTTCGCGACACAGACAAAGTGCGTTTACCTATCAACAACATTGTACCTATTTGCATATTTTGTCGTTCAAATACCTACTTAAACTGCTGTTTCCCGCTATTTTCTATCTTTTACTTTCAAAACCAGTTTTAAATTTTAGTACATCACTAACATCTAGGTACGTCTATTATATTATGAACACCTATTCCATAAAACTAGATTTGTTAAGGAAAGTTCTGTACTTGTGTGCATTAAGTACCTATATGTACGAGTAATATTGATAGATAATAAGTATCGATTCATAACCTAATCGAGACGTGTATAACGGTATGCTTCCACAATACTATTTAAAGAAATGTGTACAAATCTTTTATCAAACTCGATAGTTAATGAGTTTTTAGTACAGTAAGAGCCTAACAGGTTCGAACTTTGAAGCCATCGATTTTTTTTTCTTTCAAGCCGTTTCTGTCACTGTAACTCATTCGTTCTGCCATTAAATCGATTGATGGTGTATTAAATCATCAATTTATTGTTAAGTATTTCCGCTTTTGAATGCATTATTTGTGTGTACATTCAGTACGTTACAACTAGTAGTTATCGTTCGTTTTTGTATCGGCCGCTTTAACTGGGTAGGGCAGTTTTATGGCGACTTTAAAATTCCGCTAGCGGCTAAGAACTTTAATTCCATTTAATCTACCATCTTTCATCTTCGTAGACAAACGGTATTTAAGCACTGACCATAAGCAGCAACGGTCTTATATATATTATTTAAATACTTAACAGATAGTTTTTTTTGTTGTTTTCATTATCTTATTCGAATCATCTTAAAGTTCTTGACTCCACACTTGAATCTCATCTTTTAAAGTGTTCTACGTAACTGTTTCTACAAACAACAACTTCTGGCTTGCTTACTTTGTAAAGGTCCGTATTGTTGTGAAATAGCTCAGTACAGTTCGGAGTGCTATGCAAAGTTACGCCTATCGTAAATGTTAGTAGGTGCACAAACCTCAGACTTCATCGACCTTATTGCTATAAGTTACTTAATCAAATTTATCGCGAATTCGCGACCGAATACCGACGTAGTTTAAACAAAACGTAAAAAAATGCTGCCGGGTCGGATTGCCAAAATTCTTTCACTGATAGATAGCTATAATGTTTCTGAGTGCTATAGGCTATAAAACATCAGGCTACGATCAGATGGAGCTGAGCAGCAGGTGAAACCGCGTGAGAGTAGCTATTTTTACTATAATCTTGCGATAAGTTGGGATGGAAGTTACAATAAATATTGAATATAATAAAATGTAGAGGAAAAATATTAAAAAATAAATAAAAGGATTGCATGTTACCTACCTACCTGTCGTGTTTATGCAATCTGTGGAAATACAGATATATATAAATATGTAGCTATAAACCACGTAAGTACTTGAGTACATTACTATTTTCTATACAGAGAAAGTCGCAGACTAAACTATCATATGACTATGCTATCTCTTTTAGTTTTTATCTATGTAAAGTAGCTGCTTATGTGAGCAGATTTTTGTATACAATTATCATTTACGATGTTTACGAAAGATAATCCGGGGTTGTGGGGCAAGTGCAATTAGAAACCGCGGCCTAAGCCTAGAGCTTGAGCAGGAACCGACTCAGTAAGAGAATGACTCGAGAGAAGTTGTTTTGATGATTTCTACTCACAAAAAAAGGCAAAATGCACCTAGGATCTTACCCCCGCGCTTCTCTAGCCCGATAATCTAATATTTGATCACTGCTTTACCTTTTCTCCATCGTCTCACGCGAAAACTTTTAAATCCCCTTTTACGATATTCGCGAAACTTTCGTGGTATTTCCGAACAGATACGACCTTCAAATATTAAAGAAACGACCGCAATCCTTAAAAATAGGTACTTAAAAGAATCACTTAACCAGAATGGTATTATAAATACCAGATCTCACAACATCAGTATAAGCTTAGGTATAAGACTCTTGGTATTATTAAATAACAAGAAAAACTGGTTCTGTGATCTCAATTAAAATAGATTTTATGGCTATTTGGTAGTCCAAATAATCCGAATTATAAAAGGTTGCAATGGCCTATGGTTTTATCCGAACGATATGATACGATTTTATAAATAGGTCCCTTAAAAATGATATTGAAACTACAAATTAATTGATCGAGAACCGATATTGGTTTGCTTACTGTTAAGTCAAGAAGAGCACGTAAATTTTGGCCTTCTATTAAAAAAAAAGAAAAAAAATACGTAGAAATATTTATCAATAGCAAAGAAAAACGTACCTATTTTATTTTATAGATCTATCGGCGGCAATGCAATACTTGAATGATACCAATGATATCTTGGGAATCATTCCAGCCAGCAATAAAAATTGTAGACAATGAAACCTTTTTCAAAAATAAGTTTTTAAGGAAATATTACCTACTACTTTCCGCTCGCGGTTAATAGTAACGTAAAAAGCAGTAAATATATACATATTTAGAATACCTACATACCATATACCAAATGGGTCCAGCCATTATTGCGTAAAAAATAACAGTCATACATCCATCATTCTCATAAACTTTCAGATTTCTTATAATATTTGTACGATTTTAGAAATGTCTACTACACTGCGTTTAGTACCAGCTGCATTAGCCCTTGCAAATTTGTAATCTATTCATGAACAAAACCAATAAATATTAATGAATTTTCTAATTATTCTTAATATTGACTTGTCGAGTTTGGCGTGAATTTATAGCCTAAAAGCACACGCGCTCTGGAATAAATAAATGTCATTTTGTTATCTTTAACGTTAGGTAGATGTAATTGACACTTCTGGGTTATTTGGTCTAACTATAGGACCTTTCCGAACCCAAATGTCTTGGTGACCTCTAGGTTCAGGCGCCCGCATCTCATGCGGGTTTTAAGCCAAATACCAAAGTGATTTTTACCGAGTTATATCTATGTACTTTCTTTGATTATTTAGACACCACTGGCATACGATGAAGTAAAACATAGTGGCGTGAGGGTAAAATCATTAAATGACTTCACGCCCAGGGTCAGGCGGGAGGGAGTGTCAGACTCTTACTGTCTAATAATCCCCTGGTTCCTTCTTCTAATCTGGGCCGAGTCTGCTGTGCCTCATTGCGCTAACAAAATTAACCTTTTAAAGATGAATTTTACTCAGTTTGTGTGAAATTGTGGCGTGTGTACGTGTATGTCGTTATCATCTTTATCTAAGTGTACCTAAAGTAAAACAATCTCAATATATTAACCAATTTCAAAAGTTTAATACATAATAAATAGCCTTTATTTGTTTCGTTATGAACACCTCATTTGTTATTAAAAAAAAGAACAATCCTACAAATAATTATGATTGTTTAATGTTTTGTTTGAAAACAAACTTCTCAGTAATGTTATCTATTGTAAATAGTTATTGTTTATGAAAGTACAATTTTTTTATGTTTGTCAACACGTTTACACGAAGCCTTATTACAGGTGTTATTTACATTCTTTATTATTTTCTTCTAATCATCTTCATGTTATGCTATGTTATCAATATGTCTCAATTTGTCGCAAAAAGAAAAATTACAATGCTACACTTCTAAGCTTGCAACAAGACGAATCGAAATTCAAATTCAAAATAATTCTTTCGTCACCAACGGAGACTACATTACATTCTCGGTCTATGACAACCGTATAGGTCCAGTGGGGGCAACGGGGCGTGTGTGTGGTGGTGTAAAAATCAATGCTATCAGTCTGCCGCCAGCGAAGCTAGGTGCTCTTTTTCGACGGCTTCCTTATTTGTAGTTTTTATTTACTTAAATACATTATAAGTGACATGGTTAGACGGGGGCCATCAGGGCCGATGTTCAGCTGATGTTGCGGCGTAATAAGGTACCGGGGCCTTAGCCTGGAACAGAAGAAACGGGGGGAAGGGGTTTGTCAGTAAGAGTCTGACACTTTCTCTCGTCTTATCATGGACGAGAGAATTCATTTGATGTTATTTCACCACACCTCACCAAAGAAATGGACTTACATACATTTAGCTAAGTATCTGTGAATCGTGTTTCATAACGTTATAGTGATGAGATGAGACATCACTATACAAATACCTACATATCCAGTATCCATACTCATGGCAAGTGACTAAACTATTTGAATTACTTTCAAACTGACGTCACATATCTATCATTGATCTGTCAACAACTACAGCAGCTGATCTCACATATCAAAACAAAAATTGCCAATTAATTGATACAATCATAATTAGAGTCGTCAGTATCGTGCCATTGTTTTAGTTAAAAGTGCTGCTAACAATGACTGCCTGTTTAACGTCCATTGTGTAATGATATAAGAATTGTACTTGCATGATTTTATCACACTGTATTGTTGCGCTTTTTGTATATCTTAGTGACATAGTTGAAGCGGTGTACGTGAAGTAAAAGACTTCAACGCGCAAGGTTATAATGTTCGTGTAATGTTCATTGTTCACCTAGTTATTTCTCGGAAGTTGTTGCGGAACTAAATCGAATGTTATTAATAGGAAACGATTGAAAAACGGTTATATTTTTTGATGTATTATATTTTAATTTTTCAAGCTATTGTTTTAATATTAATTCAACAAACCCCAAATTAATTCAGCGAACCCGTCTATATCTATATCTATTGTTGTTCTATTGTGTCTGGAATTACCACGATCGAAATGTTAAAATTAAAATATTTTTGAGAGGGA